GTAGGATTAACACGAATTCTGAGACATCGAACAAAAATTCAGTCCAAATTTCCCATTAAGACCATGACAAAACACACAACCCCTTACAAGTCCGCCATTTACAATCGCACGGAACGATTCTCGCGCATACACAAACAAAATGCACCCATGTTGCATGCATGTATCTTTTGTTTAAATTATTAAGGACGTGCGTCCTAAAATTTCACAGGTATAAATGAAATCGATATAAACACATACATGTTATTTACCGGCTGCGGGGTCCGTACTGAAAAAATATTTTCCCGAGGTGTAAATAACGTGTTTATTTTTTTATTTGATAGTTCATGGTTATAATGAAATTCCCATAAAATTCCAGTTACGAAGTACATTTGAGATCAGTGCGTTTGTTACTTTAATAGTGCAAGCATGGCGGACAAACTGCTAAACAAAAGCGATAAAACTTGGATAAAAAGCTTTTAGTTTGATTGCAATCGATGCTTTTCTACTCAACAAGAAAATATAAGTTAAACAAAGTAAAAATATTCATTTTCCGATTCGTTTTGCGGCATGGACATGCTTGAAAAATGTTTTTTTACAGAAAAATACAAATTTTAGTTGCCGAAAAACAATTTGTTCTTTACAACATTTATAAAAACAATTTTTCCCGAATAAGCCCAGGAATCGTCTTAACACAGCCAGTTAAGGTTCTAATTTTTAAATTTTATGTTTAAGGACAAGTTGTACGTTGTACTATTTATATTTATACGTATAATTTCGAAGAATAGCTGCATATATGCATGTAGAACAATTGAATCAAAACATGTAGCACTGGCAAGTGTTTTTCGATGTTTATATTTGGGTTTTTTCGCAGTTTGGTCGAAGAAAAGTATATTTCGGTCAAAAGCCCACTGAACTTGAAAGTGGACAAAAGTCCACTAAAGCCAATTCACTATATTTTACTGTCTTTAGTATCAATAGGGCATACTTTTAAACTATTTGGGTAGTGTTTTGATAAAATAACTCTTTTGGACCAAGGCCAAGATATCGTAAAAAGCTGCCAGATGCACCACTATAGTTATAGTGGTGCATTAACATGAAACAGCCTTCCTGTTGACTTGAGGCAAGCTAATTCTCTAAATTCGTTTCGACCTGGCTGTAATAGATTTCTCTCTTCTCGATCGTTAATTAATGCACGGCACTCATGCAAAGCAGGTTTTTCTTTTGCCATTTCTTAGTATGTATTTATATATTGTGTTATTTATATTGTAAGTAGTGTGTCATTAGTTTTATGCATAATTCTGTGGATTTATATATATATATATATATATATATATATATATATATATATATATATATATATATATATATATATATATATATATATATATATATATATATACATATATATATATATATATATATATATATATATATATATATATATATATATAAATCAATCAATGATACATCAGAGCTCGTATAACAACTTTTTATTACGTTTCGGGGCAAGCCCCTTCTTCAGATTACATGTGTACACTTGATTTCAACAATTTAAACTGTCCATACCCTAATTACAATAATTCGCATGATTAACTCTATTGTTCAAACAAAGTCTTTTAAATTCAACCCATGCGGTTCAAACGAATTCAGTTATATATCTATCTATATATATATATATATATATATATATATATATATATATATATATATATATATATATATATATATATATATATATATATATATAATATTAATGAAACCAAAGATGATCAAATTTTACAGTGTAGAAAGAGTGCTCAATACCATTTAATAACGTAGAGCAAATAATTTAATTTCTTAACTTAAAATATAGTCACAACTCTGAGTTTCACGCTCAATGCGATCTTCAGGCAACAATGTTTAAATCTCAATTAAGATTGAGATTTAAACATTGTTGCCTGAAGATCGCATTGAGCGTGAAACTCAGAGTTGTGACTATATTTTAAGTTAAGAAATTAAATTATATATATATATATATATATATATATATATATATATATATATATATATATATATATATATATATATATATATATATATATATATATATATATATATATATATATATATATATATATATATATATATATATATATATATATAGCTTAAGATTTTGGTTATGTATATATAGCTTAAGATTTTGGTTTACGAAACACAAACAGTGCTCAATACCATATAGATAGAGCGTAATATAGTTTTTCGTTTTACCTCAAAAACCACAACAGTCTGTTTCATCCGTATAGGAATCATCAGGTGGTGAATAATTTCGAAATTGTAGGTTGCTTTTATGCTATCGAAAGAATGTGCGGAATGCGTGGAGGCGAAACAATGCTTAGGTGAAACAATGCATGCTTGGGTCATTAGGTTTTGTTAACGACCTTGTTTACTCGAAACCGGTTTTTGTGACGACATTTGCCGAAAATTTCGCTTCTTTTATTGAGTAAATTGTCTTTGTTTATGTCTTTCAAAATGCAAAATTTTTCTTCCAAACATAAAATTCCGGCGTAAAATTCCGGCGTAAAATTCCGACATAAAATTCCGGCGTCCTAAAGACCAATTTCAGACATCTTTGGCTAACGATTTGAAGAAAATTAATTCATCCCCCAATATTTTCATTTTCGCGGACAAAACTAGAAACATTTACGAAACGTCACTGAACACATACAACGAACTCTTACATGATAACATCACGAAAACGTACAAACATGGATCAGAGGACTTCATACATGAAATTGACTCCGAATTGAAAGAAATTGCGAGTAAGTTAGGAATTGGCGACAGAATTGAACGAATGAAAAAACGCGAAGCATTTATATCTTTAAAAGATCACAAAGAAAATTTCGAAAACAATCCAAAATGCCGACTAATTAATCCCGCAAAAAGCGAATCCGGAAAACTAAGTAAGGTTATTTTAGATAAAATTAATTCCAATTTGAGACAAAAAACTAAATTCAAATCAATGGAGAAATACGCAACAAGTAATTTCATGGTTTGGCAATATAAACGATAAAGACAGGCACAGTTTTATTTCATTTGATATTGTGGATTTTTACCCATCTATTTCCGAAAAACTTTTAAATGAAGCATTGGTCTGGGCTTCGGATTTGACTACTATTACCGAAAACGATATTTCAATAATAAAACATGCAAGAAAATCTCTACTTTTCGGCAACGGCAAATTATGGACAAAAAAAGACGGAAGCAACAGTTTATTTGACGTCACTATGGGTAGTTTCGACGGCGCTGAAATTTGTGAACTGGTAGGCCTTTTCATTTTAAATCACTTAGGTAAGAGGTTTGGCAAGGAAAACATCGGACTTTATAGAGATGATGGTTTGGCTATTATAAAAAGCAAATCCGCCCGTTTACTAGACAAAACTAGAAAAGAGCTACACAAAATTTTCGAGCAATTTGACCTTAAAATCACCGCCGAAGTAAACATGAACGTTGTAAATTTTTTAGATGTTACTTTCGACCTGATCAACGCAAAACACAAACCATACAGGAAACCCAATGACGATCCATTGTACATCCACAGACACTCAAACCATCCACCAAGCATTACAAGACAATTACCTACAGCTATCAACAAACGCATTGCACTTCTCTCATCGGACGAACAAACATTTAAGGAATCCACACCTATTTACCAGAACGCTCTTACACATAGTAGCTTTGATCATGAATTTACGTACACTGAGAATGCACCGCAACGGACACGTAGGAATAGGCAACGCAACATAATTTGGTTCAACCCACCATTTAGTAAGAGTGTTAACACAAACATAGGACGGGAATTCTTAAGTTTAATTGACAAACACTTCCCGCTACAGCACAAACTACACAAGATTTTTAACAGAAACACTTTAAAAGTAAGCTACAGTTGCATGAACAACGATAAGTCTATAATCACCAAACACAACGCACATATAATTAGGAACAGTCAATCACAGAATACGGAAACTGACAACTGTAACTGCGACAACAAAAATACTTGCCCACTACCGAAACAATGCATGACCAACAACATTATTTACAAAGCAACAGTCACAACGAACAACACGAACGACACTAAACACTACATTGGTATGACAGCGACTACATTTAAGGAACGTTACGCTAACCACACTTCATCTTTTCGTTATAAAAAAGACTCAAACATAACGGAACTTTCGAAACATATTTGGAAATTAAAAGAAAACAATCAGGATTATACCATCAAATGGTCAATTTTAAAACACGCTATTTCGTACACAGGGGGATCAAAACGCTGCAATTTATGTTTGGAAGAAAAATTTTGCATTTTGAAACACATAAACAAAGACAATTTACTCAATAAAAGAAGCGAAATTTTCGGCAAATGTCGTCACAAAAACCGGTTTCGAGCAAACAAGGTCGTTAACAAAACCTAATGACCCAAGCATGCTTTGTTTCGCCTAAGCATTGTTTCGCCTACACGCATTCCGCACATTCTTTCGATAGCATAAAAGCAACCTACAATTTCGAAATTACTCACCACCTGATGATCTATCTGTATATATATATGTATATATATATATATATATATATATATATATATATATATATATATATATATATATATATATATATATATATATATATATATATAATATTGTGTATGTATCTATGTAATATTAATCCTGATGAGTACACAGTGGATAAATAAAGTTACCTTACCTTACCTTACCTTACCTTACCTTACCTTACCTTACCTTACCTTACCTTACCTTACCTTACCTTACCTTACCTTACCTTACCGTACCTTAACTTAACTATTTTTGGCGTGCTGTACAAAAATTAGAATAAAAATTAAATTTCTCAATTTATCGTGTTGCCATGGCAACACTGACGTAAACGCCAGCCTGCGTTCAGCTTTGATCAATTACTAATACTTCATGTCAAAGCAACGTTTGGAAAATACATGCGAGGGGTTACTGCATGCATGTATTTCTAGTAATAATTATATTGCAAAGCATATTACCGCATCAACGGCGTGACTCCCTCTTTATCTTTCAAACCTCCGATTTGCAAATCCTTGTGCAATTCCAACATTGTTTTCAAGAATTTTTCACTTCCTGAATGACAGACGCCAAGAATGAACGTTTCAGATTGAGAATGTTGTAGTTCTCTTTGTAGCAATCGACGTGCTGCTTTCTCTTTCATCAGAAAATCAAGAATAGCGGGTTTGCCACTCTGAGATGCTGGATAGAATATTGAGTGGCCGATGCCATACAGATTTTCATTTGCAAATAAAGTTTCTCGGCGTTTTTGTGAGCGTGGATCTAAATGAAATTTCAAAAATGATCACCAAAATCCAATCATCGAGATGTGTATAAAGACAATTGGAATCATTATCAATTACGCAATTCCTTTTTCAAAAACAGTCATTTTTATTGTGAACAGATACAAAAATGTGCAACATTTTAAATTTTTTTAAATTTTACGTACATAGGGCTGACAACATTTCTTTAATAACTTCAACTTGGCCTTTTAGTGCTGCAAGATAAATTGGCGACTCTCCTTCGACGTTTTTTTTCTCAATGTCTGGATTCTTTCCTGGTAGGTTTATGAGCCATTTTGCTATTTCTATATTGCTTTCTCGTACGGCAATTAGCATGGGCGTATTTGCATTGTCATCGAATGGCTCATCCACCAAGTTGTCCATGAACTCTCTATGTTTCTCAACAATTCTAATAGCTGCCCAGTTGCATCCCTTAACAATTTCAATAAGGGGAGAACCGTACGAACTCCATGTGATCTCCTTTCGAGACGAATCAGGTAGTTTATCGTAAACATCACATAAGTATTCCAAGCAATTTAGAGACACGCGTTGTGCATACGCCATATATCCACATGCTATCCTCGTAGCAGAGGCATCACCTAAAGAAAAAATGTAAAAAAAAGTATCATTTATTAAGGCTGCATAACATTTGTGATGGGATCTTATATGGCTAAAATAGCTGCTCGGTTCTCAATGCTTAAGTTTTGTCTGTAAATTTGCATGCACAATTATAAATCCACTCCAAGAGTTAAGAATTTAGCAAAAGTCACACTGTCGACTTTTAAAAACTTCAGTTGTTACAAGACATTTTTCAAATAATATCGTCTTCATTGTTTGTTCTTTACGCTTAGCTCACTCAATAGATTAGAACATTCGGTGCAGAATTTAAGCTTACAGAAGGACTTCTCGCTTGTGTGTGGAAAAACTCACATGAATTTTGATGAATGCTGGAGTCTAGAAACTATTTTTCAATTTTGCGGGTAACAAATATTACTATATATATATTTTCACTGGAAGATTTCTCTCGCAATACAGAAGCCCACCAAGAGGTTATGACCGACAAGCGACATTCCTTAAAAAGAGGCGATAGACTATAGAGGCGATAGAAAGCGACAAATTGTGATTTGTGCTATTGGTCAAACGTGACAGCGACATTTATCATAATAAAACAAGCGTCAAAGCAGCTACAAAATGAATGACAAGCGACCTGGGTTACATCATTGGTAGGCCTCTATACAATATAATCTGAACATTGATAAATGAGATGATTAGTTGGTCATCCATATATACCATGTGATTATCAGACAGTATAAAAGTGGCACAACCTCGGTATTTTCAAGCATTTGCCACTGAAAAAGAAGAACGGCGCTGAAATGTTTTGGGAACAACCTACCTCCCCTCGGCTGAGATAATTCCGGAGCTAACCTCGCCGCACTCTACCTTTAGCTAAAAATTATTTAGCCCGTATAGTATTATTATTTAGCCGTTTAGTATTGGAAGCGAGCAGTGAGAATACCGTATATACAGTGCGAACCACGGTATTAGTTATATATGAGATTTGGGCATTATGTCTTCGAATTAGGAGGGTTAAACATAAATGCACGTGAAATTTTTTTTGTTTTTACTGGAAACATCGTTGCAATGTTTACATTTCATATTAGTCACGTGGGGTTCCTCTATAAAAGAGGTAGTCCACGGTATTAGGTTCTAAAATCATCCGGCAATATGGGACGTACAGGTAGGAAAGACTTAACAGAAGCAGAAAATCCACTATTATGAAAGAAAGTGCAATGGGCTAAACAACCAAATCAATTGCTGAAAGAATAAATCGCCATGTGGTCACAGTGACAAGATTTTTGCAAAATCCTTCAAAGAGGAAACCTCCTTCTGATCGCGGCGTTAGAAAGTCAGTGTCAAAGCCGAAATATGTATCGCCTGAGAAGAAACTTACGTAAAATGGTAGCAGCAACAAGTAAAAGAATCTTTAAAAAAGCAGGTCTGCCAGATGTATGAAAATCCACCCGAAATCGTACGCTTGGGAAGCTAGATTCCATCAAGACTATGAATAAAAGGCCTTCCTTGACACCTAGGCACCAACGTTTGCGGATGGAATGGTCAAAAAAGTACATGAAGACAGACATGAAGTTTGTTCCTTTTACTGACGAGTCGAGAGCGTCATTAGATGGTCCGGATGACTGGGCTAAAGCATGTGTTTTCAATGGTGGTAATTGTCCTAACAGGATGAGGCGTCAACATGGTGGTGGTGCGGTTATAATTTAGGGCGGAATCATTGGAAATGTTATCATTGGTCCCTCCCGCGTTCCTGAAGGTTTAAAGTTGTCCTCAGGTACGTATTGCCCGTTCCTGAAAAATTCCCTTGAGCCATGGTTGGACAACCTTCCTTTGGCAACTTTGAAGAAGATTATCTTTATGCATGATAATGCACCGTCCCATGCAGCAAAAGCAACAACGCAATTTCTTCACTCACTTGGATTTGTGAATGAAACCCTGATGGTTTGGCCTCCAAACTCACCAGATTTGATCCCAATAGAGATAATAAAGCGTCATATTTATGTGAATGACAAGCAGTACTTATCAAAACATGATCTGTGGATGGCCATCAAAGAATTAGCAGCTACCATCCCTAAGTCCACCATCGAGAAACTGACTGATTCAGTGAATGACAGACTTTTTGAAGTCATCGAACGTCAGGGCGCATGTTAATAAATAAACTTTTTCTATGATTTGTATTGTTACGTTTGCCAACTTCATCACCGTATATATTTATTTGAATTTATAAAAATTTATATCAATAAAAATTTGAGACAATAACTTATTATTTATTTGTTTTGAACGCTGTCAACGTGGTTTTTCTGAAATATAACTAATATCGTGGTTCAGTAAAAAAAGCACATAATATATAAAACCCTTTTTTACGTAGTTTCGTTAATTAAACTTGATTCACAGTTTTTATGAATTGAGCAGCTGTGTAGACTTTTCAGCCAATATTTCGTAAATTCAATAATTTTTTATGACAATTTTTGTTTGAACTAAGATCGTGGTTCGCAATGTAGCAAATTGGGTCCGTCATGAAACCGAAATCAGCCAAATACTTTAGGCCTTATGATAAGGAACCAGTGTTACCAAAACCTTCCAAAACATCATGGCCTGAAATTATATCCCAGTTGTTCTCATGGAAAGTTATTCATATCTAACTAAAGTGGTTTCATATATATATTATGAAATACATATAATAATTCGAAGGTCGCATGTTCAAGACCCAGCCGCGGCAGACAACATATTTCTGCTTGCGCTGGGTATGGAAATTATATAATACACACTCTAGAACATTTTCATCTTAACATATTACGGAGTGTACAATTACACAACTTAACATAACACTTGCAGAACTAGTATTGTTCGATGCTAAATTAACATAAACGAGTATGTTTATGACATCAGTATATATTTCATAATTTCCAGTCTTAAATCCGTCTGACCGTGTATACCTCAGTTGGTAGAGCGTCGATCTAGTAATTCGAAGATCGCGGGTTCAAGACCCAGCCGCGGCAGACAACTTTTTTCTGCTTGCGCTGGGTATGGAAATTATACAATACACACTCTAGAACATCTTCGTCTTAACATATGTGACCTTCCTTGGGAAAACGTACGTTAACGATTTTGCATTAAAACGGGCAAAAAAACGGTTAACGAACGGATAGTAAACGCTTTGTCAAATCGTTCCAACGGATCATAAAAACGTTTTAGACGTTTTGAGTAAAAAATACGAACGGGTAAAGACAAAAAATTAAACGGCTCTACGAACGGCTTTAACACACCGTTCGAACGAAATTAAGAAACCGTTCAAACGATATTCGGTAACCGTTTCAACGGATCTGCACAGAATGGTATAAAGCAGTGAACAATAATATACAAAAACGGGCAAGTAGGCTATACACTGATCCAGAATTAACCAACACACATTTATCCAAAAGCATGCGTATAAGCACAAACAAAATAGATCACTTTGGTGTTTATAAACGTTTCATCGTTTCAAACGTTTCATCGTTTCAAAAGTTTTATCGATTTCCGTACCAACAAATTAAAAGACGCTAAAGCCGGAGACACGCGGCGGTGTTTTTGCATAACACGGCACAGCTGATATACATGAGACTTAAGCCCGTGACTTAAGTAAGGTCTTTTATCCCAAGGGCGTGTAGATTAACCAACTCATGAAATTAGATCATTGTACATATGTACATAAAAACTTCTTAAACTTTCTAATTTTTACATTCTCATAGGTTATACATGTATTTTAGTATATATTTTTAACTTGTAAATCCATTGTATTTCTATATGCCAAAGATGGATATTTAACAATAAAAAAGAAAAAAAAAGGTCTCTACTGTAAACGCGACTATATACGCAATCAGTTATATTTATAAGGCCTAAAACTAAACGTATAGTATCTGTAGCTATACGTAACAAGAACTAGAACCATTATCTGTGTTGATGGAACCTGTCGCTAGTGCTATATTGTCTCAATTATAGTAAATGGCTCAGTATCAAAAATCGGGTGTCCATTATAGCGTATTGGTAATTTCCTCTATATTAATGCCTGTGAAACACGGCACTGAGATCTAAAATGCTCAGTGCATGCTGAGTTAAATTATTGTTACTAATATTTTCCATAATTCATATATTAGTTAGCTCCGGAATATTAGGGAAAGATGCAGTCACAACGGATTTAATAGCGATAGGCCTATATCTGTTAAAGTAAAAGGTCAACTGGTCAAGATGTAAAGGTATATAAACCAACTATAAACAGTTTGAACAGCAAATAAACACAGCATGCACGCAGCAATTAAGGTATATTGCAGAGTGCAGAAAGCAGAATAATGACGATATATTGGTATACTGAAACATTTGATGCTCTCCTTAAAATGTACTCCATAAACCTGTACTTCCTTGAAATGCACAAAATCCTGTGAATTTAAAGTCATTATATCACGCTAACTCACTTATCATTCATGTAGTGTTACATACATGCACGAACAAAAAGACGCTCACATATCCTATGATTATAAGCACGAAGTATTTGGCTTCGTTAAAGTTCGTTTTATAAGTAAGCCGATACCTTAATTTACATGTTATATATATTTGCTTGTAAATCTTTTATTCACCTACTTTCTTCCAAATATCGTGTGGTAGTTTATATAGTAGCTACATCTTTTTATATCAGCCTAATCAAGAAGACTTTATCGACCAATTCCCTATTAGCTATGTTTTGCGCAATCACAACATCGCTATTTAAAACGTCTTTATAGCATAAACAACTATATATATAAGGCTGTTCCTGACTGGAACGTTTGGAAATTCCGCGCCTGAGATTTTGAAAATTTAATAGTATTGTAAATATAGAAAGTGTTAAAATTGCGCGGTCGATATCTCCGCCGCGCGATACAGACATTCCACACTGGACTGGCTGTTTTCCCCTATTTATTTTGGGAAATGCAAAAATAGCTTGGAACACCTTAATATACACAACCTTTCCTGGTGGTCTTCTATTTTATTTTATTTAAAGAAATCAGAAATAAATAATGATTATTGAATCGGCATAAGTAGTTGACCACCAGGACTACGCTAACCTTACGACGTCTTCTCACTTCTGATGTCGTCCGTTTTAGTAAAAGAATACATAATGTATCTTCGTCTTCCCAAGTAACGTATCTTCGTCTTTTCAACTATCGAACTTACAGTCGCACGCAGGTATACACTCTATCTATTGGCGCAATTTGAAATTTGCAAGCTAATATTTCACTTGACATTGATGTCAACTTGCATAAGAATAGCTTGATAATATTATACATGTTAATTTAATTATGCTTTTGAGAGAGTTGAATTTCACGCAGCTGGTGTATTTTCCAATGACTGAAGAGACGTCAGCACTTCTGCGGCTTTCTCATTTTAATTATAGTTGAGTTGAGTAAAATGGAGTGGCATGCATGTATGATATACTATATAGTATCACATATTCACATTATAATGGTTTATCGAAACGGAAACGGCGCAAATCGTACTGAAAAACCATGGCCGTACGAGGCACTTTCCGTTACAGTGATGCGGTAATTGCGGTAGACACTCAGTGATTCACAAGACTATAAGTACTTTCAAGTATTAATATAGCTTTTGATGTAAAATAACATATTATTATTGGATTCAAAGCAAAGGTTTCGTGCAGTTTACATTATACTTTATATAACATCAGTATATGCACGAATAAACTTTTCAGTTTTGCTGCCTTAGCCTAGGAAAGTTTTATTAATAGCCTAATAACTGTTTATTGCAAAAGCTTTGATTTTGTTCATTTAGTCGCTGTTCATTTGGTATCAAAATCTATTTTCCTGGTTTTAAACTCCATATGAAAAATTAAAGTTGTATTCAAGCACCAGTAAGAGAAATTATATTCTGAGAGAAAATTCTACTCCTGAGTTAATACAAGGGAATATAAACTATTTCCTATAACATGATCACTTAATATCATAATCCGACAATTATTTTAATTAGGTTTATAGTGCCAGTTAGGTGTTGATATACAGTATGCCGATTTCCGTCAAAGTAAGTCGAGTTATCAACGTATTTAATTTGCCGTCGGGCAACATGCACAGTTATTGAATCTACGAAGTAGATTATATGCTATCGACGTGTTAGCTGTTCACTGTTCACTTTTCAGTTACAAATCACGGCTTGGTCGCGAGACAATCCAATATGCCGGTAAAGAGGAGTTAAAATTTATGATTTATATTTATTCACACAATTTAAATTTGATGACTTGTGGATGAAAATGGAGCGAAGGTAAATTATAATCTTGGAACTACGTGTCTGTTTTGTAGTGGCGTGGTTGCTGTACACTTTTCAGCAATTTACGAAATAGTACTATTGGTTTTCAAGGCGTCTACCTTGTGTCCTATTTGGAGTCATCTTGACACCTAATAAGCATTTGAATTAGCGAAATTTGGCAAAATATGAGGTACAGAATTATTTTAATAAAGTATAACAACCAGCGAAAAAGTAAGCCACTAAGGTTTCGAGTAAAATTGACCCATTAAATGTTTTAAATGTAAGGTTTCGAGTAAAATTGACCCATTAAATGTTTTAAATGTTATGGGCCGTAACTCTCTACTCTCCAAGATGTTGTTGTTAGAATTTAGTAATGTAATACGATCCTTTAATATGATGTGTGCGCTCATGTCGAATATTCCACTTAATATAAACACAATAAAAGTGCAACAGTATTAAACGTGATTCTTGTTCACGTTTAACTATATATTGTACTTATCCCGCCTCTGCATGTTTCAACATATCATATACGAACAAGTGAAAATACTTTATTAGTTAATTGTTTTTTAATTAATGTGTTTTATAATATTTTGTTTCACGGCAGAACCATTGGCCTTATCAGTATAGGTTAGTGGGCAGTAGTCTCTATTATTATGGCGTGTATACGAATTCGTATAAGACACAGTTACTGTGGCGTTTTACTGCGATGGATTTGTTTAGTGTGCAACTGAGTATGGTCTTACAATTAGAAATAGAATTCGGTGAATATTTTAATCTGGAATAACCGTTTTAGAGCAAATTACCGGTATTTCAATGACATGTTTATGCCAGCATATATTGTTTTGTGATTATGTTCTAGTCTAGCTGGTGCTTGGTGGCCATTCACTTTTTAAAGTTGTCGGTTGACCACTGGACACTGGACAGGGTGGGCATTGGGTATTTCGTTGTTGCTAATGTATTTATGCGAAAAATTAAGTCGAATCTTTGGCGGATAATGTGACATGATTTAGCAAATTTTGTGCCGTTGCTAAAATTGAAAATAATTTATTAAAATTCTAATTATAATTCCAGTCTAGAGCTTATAAGATAAAAGATTCGCACGACAAATTTCGCTAGTGGAAAACAAACTTTAGTTATTCAAACTTCAGTTGCAAGAATTCAATTGATTTAGGGGTCGATCTACTGCCGCTTTCAATCGTTCTAGACTATTACATTCGGAGCGCAGCAAAATCCGCTTTCGAAACTGGCAAGCCAGGTATATTATTAATTAAGATCAATATTTATTACTGTGGACTACATTGAAACTGTTTTATGCTTGTTTTGATACAATTGTATGCGTAACATAACGACTTTCAGTTATTCGGCCAGAATAATAATGTAGTAACTTAAGCGAATTTAGTTGACGCTAAGCTGACGCTATTCAACGACGGAAGCGGCAAGCTCGCGGATGTATATTTTAAACCATCTTTTAACATTCGAGAACCTTTTGCTCAATTTATTGTTGCAATATTTCACCGCGACATTTTCGACGCTACTCTAATAAAATTGCAAGAATATTTAATATTGTGAAGGGTGGCGAACTCCTATATTAACTGCTGTCCGTAACACTAATACTGTAATAGTGTTTTTTGTAAATCCTACAAGACAAAGCGGTTTCAGATATTAAACACCTACAAAGCCAGCTTAAACAATGTGAATATATTCTGTAAGGAATTTAAACGGCTTCGTGAACGTATTTGAACGTTTTGAGCCAAACGTTGAAACGATTTAGCAACATTTTTCAAACGTTTTTCTCCAACCGTTTGAACGGTTCAGCCAGACGTTTGAACGATCTCAAAAATCGTTTCAACGGAACGCTAAAGCGTTTAAACGGATAACGAACGGATAACGAACGATTTTTCAGAACGTTTTTCAAAACCGTTAACGTACGTTTTCCCAAGGAGGGTCACATATTACGGAGTGTACAATAACACAACTTAACATATATATATATATATATATATATATATATATATATATATATATGTTAAGTATTACTATATTTGATTTTGACTAATATCTGACGGTATTGAAATAAAATACTTCAATATAAAATTATGAATCTTGCGCGCGCAAAATTCAAATTGCGCAAATTTGAATACTTGGCGAAGAAACTTTGCAATGCACGCATTTTTTAACCAAACGAGGACAGATTCCATTTCTGCCAACGACTTCTGTTTCGACGTGATAGCGGTAATTTGACCATCAACATCATTCTTGGAGTGTTGTTGAGAATGGATACCATTCCCGATAGGCTTTACCTTCAAATGGATAACTGTTGGAGGGAAAATAAAAACCAGTATGTTTTAATTTTCCTTGGTGTACTGGTGAAACTAAATATATTCAAAAAGGTAATTATCATAGCATAGAAATTTAATTACCGGTATCTTTTTTCTAATCGTGGAGATTTGATTTTGTGTATTTTTAAAATTTGACACTGCATGTAGCTCCTTATTTGCGGCCTGACCAGGTCTAACCCTACATAGTGTTTTATCAGTTAAATCGGTGAATCACTGTTGTCGGCAGTGCAAAGGCTGCCAGTCAGTCATCTCCCAAGATAGGCAGTAGCTGAGAAATGTTTAGATTTCTTTCTCCTATCCTGTGAAATTCAGTTATTGTTCTCATTAACCCGTTTGGCAGAATAAATTTATGTTCCCAAAAAACCCCTCGGTTAAGATTGTTTAACTCGGTCGAATGCCACATAACGCTAGGCCCGTTAGCAACCAAGGTGTTATACTATTACACTTTATCAAAAAAATGGTTAAAGTTGAATATTATTATATGTTTCAGGTGAAGTTAAAATTTTTAATGAAAGGCCACACACATGAGGATGTCGACCAACTCTTCAGTCGGTTTGGGAAGAAACTTTCAACAAACAATGTTGTAACAGTGAAAGGTAAACGAATTACTTGAACAATCTTTCCTTGGTACGGATGCAAAATTTGTGTCGTACAGTGTTTTATTACCCTTTAGTGGCACTTTAGACTGTGCCTCAGGCTAAGTCCACACAAATATATAAAATGTCTTCTTTAGCAAACTATATAATTATAATTTAAATACTTATTAATCTACGTCATGAGAATTGATACAAGGTATTTCTCCTCGCCTCTCCTCAAAGGCCGTGCATGCCTTTGTCCTTTGTTTTGGAAAACAATTCGTACAATTTTAACTTTTTTATCCATTAAAGCTATTGCTTATCAATTTAAAAAACTTACACGAAGTTTCTAACTGAAGCCGAGTAAAACCCAGCAGCATGAAAGATTGGGGCGAGTATAAAAATGAAATATGGCGACGAAACGAAAAAAAAAATAACGTACAGTAATTTGTAATTTTGCTTCGAAGTTTAAAGGACTATGTAGGGAACAAAAGAAGAACTTTTAAAGATTCCGATATTTAAAACACAGAAATATTTTTATCAGTGAGTGTATAAAACCGTTTCTAACGTATTCATATTAAATTTTAGTATACGTTTCTATATAAAATATTAAGACAAAAATTCATCCCAGCCTGAGTGTATTACTCAGTATAGAATCCTATTGGCTATACTTCTAGTTTATATACCTTAAATTGTGTTAATTTGTCACTTTAGATTTTTTGTCTTATTGCCTTTTTAGATTTGCTATCACTTTTCAAGGAGTCTTACACCCCCACTCCAGAGACTGTGTCATTGGATAGCATGTTTAATGTGAGGGAATGGCTAAAAACCATAAATCCAAGCCTGCCAATATATCCAACCCTCGATCACATTTTTGTTATTGTGGAGAATGGAAAAGGAGATGTTGTGCTACGCTACAAACATTGGAGCAGAGACACAGAATGGAAACCTTCAAAAGATCCAAATAAAGGAATTGTGATGCTTACTGCGGTATGTATTTGGAAATACTGAACTCGTGTGGTTTACCAATATCATATTATTGGGGTTTTTTCCACTTGCCCCTGTATATGAAGTATTTTAAGATCTGAGCAAGGCATGGTGGTTAATTAAAGCAACAGTATGACCTGTATGGGTGTTTCTTCGGGGTTGGTGTTTTGCACTCAGGTGAATATGATGCTTGTGATGTTACTCTGAGTGTATATTACTCTGAGTGTATATGCCTGATCGAGATTTGGAGTCATCATGGCTCTATAATTAGCGAGCTTAAGATGAGCTAAATCTAGTGTGTGGACATGACAAAAAGACAGTTACTTATGCTTTTCTTTTGAATTTGTAACCAGTTTAAATTAGTTTTTAATTTGTATCCTTCTTTTTAACAAAAAGCATTCATATTTGTTACCTGTGTTGCTGACACCGCAAATTTAGGGTGTGCTTTTTGTCAAGTCTGCATACTAGATTTACCACATATGATGGAGACTACGTTATTTGGTTTAGTATTTCAGAGGTCTTAGGTTCGATTCCCTCCGTGGCCAAGCATATTTTTCAAGCTTGCCCTGTGTGGATATACACTCAGAGTAACATCACAAGCATCATGATGGAGACGTTGTGGGGTACTGGCAAATTGTATTTAATCAATAAGCCAATTAATTGCCATATAATTTGCATATATAATAGCATGACCAGTTGTGTATTTCAGCATAGGATGTGCTCATTCCTACAGTACCTCCAGACTACGTGCCATCATCACCTGACAATGTTGATATAGAATGCCTGAAACGAGACATTCCAAAGCATATCGACAACTCAAGGGTTGTCACGGATGCTCAAAGATGGTGGTGGGCTGAATTTTTGGCAAATTCTGCTGAAACATATGGTGTTGGACCAGCAAAATTATCAACTTGGCTATTGGATGACCAGCAGCTTATCAAAAAAATTGGCATTACCCGAGCTGAACATACCGATAACCAACATCCAACACTGCAAGATCAAGAGGTGCCAAATCCATGCAGCGTAGCAGCCCAGATGAACGAGGTGGTGCAAGGTCAGCTTGTTGACATTCCTGAGGTATAAATGTGTTGGCATTACAAATGTTTTAAGCTCTGTTAAATTTCTTGATGGCCTGTGTTCTTTTCAAACCTCATCACAAGAAATAATTTAATATCATAGTAGCATATACCTTGTAGTGCCGTAGTAATTTGTGGTATCTATTATAATATACAGGTTTACACAGGATCTTACATAAAGACTTCTGGGATCATTTCAGTGGACAACATTTGGGATTATGTTATGGTTGGTGGGTTTCTGGCTGTTTTCCTTGAAGGATACAAAAACGTGCTTGTTATTGCAAAAGTAGTAAAAACAGAGACCGAGACAGAAACAATACATCATTACAACGGATCTTGGAACAAGAAATGGCAACCTTGGCTTCTCTCAAATGGTGATCCATGGACTGATGTCCTGCCAAAAGACTGTGCATTTTTGACAGCATTTGAACTTATTGACGGCAAACTACAGCCTGATACGAAACAACAAATGAGAACCTTCTTGAAGCCAGCTATGAAAGATTAACAAGGTACATATCCATGTTTACAGTTACAAAATTTGTATAGTTTCCCATCCATGCCTAAACATACAATTAGCAATATTTTTAAGTTACTGCATGTTCAAATTTATCCTATTTCATATTGGTGTGGATTTATTTAAACCAACTATTAATATGTTCGCAAAATATTCCTAATTTATCAACCATGTGCAAAAGTGGGGTGAACATGTCGGTGACATCTGCTTTGAAAAAATTATGTTTTGATGTCTTTTCATGTTGGCGTCGATTTATCCAAACCAGTTAACTATTAATATGTTTGCAAATATTCCTAATTTTTCAACCATGTGCAAATGTGGTCTCGACATGTCGGTGACATCTGCTTTGAAAAACCACCTTTTTAGTGTATTTTCATGTTGGCGTCGATTTATCCAAACCAACTATTAATATGTTCGCAAAATATTCATAATTTATCAACCATATGCAAATGTGGTCTCGACATGTCGATGACAACTGCTTGGAAAAACGACCTTTTTAGTGTCTTTTCATGTTGGCGTCGATTTATGCAAACCAAATATTAATATGTTTGCAAAATATTCCTAATTTATCAATCATGTGCAAATGTGGTCACGACCTGTCAGTAACATCTGCTTTGAAAAACGACCTTTTTAATGTCTTTTCATGTTGGCGTGGATATATCCAAACCAAATATTAATAGGTTTGCAAAATATTCCTAATTTATCAACCAGGCGCAAATGTGGTCTGGACATGTCGTTGACATCTGCTTTGAAAAATGGCCTATTTAATGTATTTTCATGTTAGCGTCGATTTATCCAAACCAACTATTAATATGTTCGCAAAATATTCCTAATTTATCAAAAATGTGCAAATGTGGTCTCGACATGTTGATGACATCTGCTTTGAAAAATGGCCTATTAAGTGTCTTTTCATGTTGGCGTGGATTTATCCAAACCAACTATTAATATGTTTGCAAAATTTTCCTAATTTATCAACCATATGCAAATGTGGTCTCGACATGTCGGTGACATCTGCTTTGAAAAATTAATGTTTTAGTGTCTTTTCATGTTGGTGCCGATTTATCCAAACCAACTATTAATATGTTTGCAAAGTATTCCTAATTTATCAAAAATGTGCAAATGTGGTCTCGACATGTTGATGGTATCTGCTTTGAAAAATGGCCTATTAAGTGTCTTTTCATGTTGGCGTGGATTTATCCAAACCAACTATTAATATGTTTGCAGAATTTTCCTAATTTATCAACCATATGCAAATGTGGTCTCGACATGTCGATGACATCTGCCTTGAAAAATTAATGTTTTAGTGTCTTTTCATGTTGGCGTCGATTTATCCAAACCAACTATTAATGTATTGGCAAAGTATTCCTAATTTATCAACCATGTGCAAATGTGGTCTCGACATGTCGGTGACATCTGCATTGAAAAATGGCCTATTTAGTATCTTTTCATGTTGGCGTCGATTTATCCAAACCAACTATTAATATGTTTGCAAAATATTCCTGATTTATCAAACATGTGCAATATTTGACAGCATTTGAACTTATTGATGGCAAACTACAGCCTGATACGAAACGACAAATGAGAACCTTCTTGAAGCAAGCTATGAAGGATTAACAAGGTACATATCCATGTTTACAGTTAAAAATTTGTATAGTTTCCCATCCATGCCTAAACATACAATTAGCAATATTTTAAAGTTACTGCATGTTCAAATTTATCCTATTTCATATTGGCGTCGATTTATCCAATCCAGCAATTAATATGTTTGCAAAATATTCCTAATTTATCTAACATCTGCAAATGTGGTCTCGACATGTCGGTGACATCTGCTTTCAAAAATGGCACATTTAGTGTCTTTCCATGTTGGTTTCGATTTATCCAAACCAACTATTAATATGTTTGCAAACTATTTCTTAATTTATCAACCATGTGGAAATGTGGTCTCGACATGTCGATGACAACTGCTTGGAAAAATGACCTTTTTAGTGCGTTTTCATATTGGCGTGGATTTATCCAAACCAACTATTAATATGTTTCCAATGAAATATTCTTAATTTATCAACTATGTCAAAATGTGGTCTAGACAAATCGGTGACAACTGCAGTTTAATAATTTTTATTTAGTGTCTTTGGAATACTGGCTTGGAGTTATCCAAACCAACTTTTAAAATACTTGAAAATATCCCTATTTTATGAGCTATGTAGAAATGTGGTTTCAACATATCAGTGACAATGCCATATGAGAATCATGTAGTGTCTTTAATGTCTTTTCGTGTTAATATTGGCTTGGATTTATTCAAACCAACAATTAATATGCTGATCGGTCACTACTGCTTTTAAAGTGACCAAAACCTCTTCTTTAGTTTTTACACTCAAACCTATTGAAAATATTGATCTTTTCTGCCTTTTTTTGCACACGTAATATTTTTTGGCAAAATTACACCAAAATGTTAACTTTTAGCATAGGATATTATGAGATTTTATATTTGTGGACATTTTTTCTCGCATGAGGTTTATTTTTCCATATTTTAAGTAAATAGAATATCACACTTTGCTCTTTTAAACGGTAATCGCCCTCTAAAGTTATTATAATAGCTAGTAATACATTTCATACAATGGCCCATCATTTTACGCAATGCACAACAATATTTCAACATGCTCTTCAAAGTTTCGTAGTACACAACAATGGTTCACAATGCAAAACAATATTCTTGTAGTGCACCGATATTTTTTTCGATTAATCGATATTTTTTTTCGATTCACTTCACCGATATTTTTTCCATTCACCGATGTTGTTTCGATTCACCGACATGTCTATATTATCGACACATCGATATTTTCCCGCGAAATATAATTTTTTCTGTTTTGTAAATATTTGCCAGTGATATTTTTCGGCGGTGAATTACAGTATTTCGGTACTTTCAAGCCGAATCGAAAAAATTAAAAATTTTAAATTTAAATTATGTATTGTGTCTCTTGTGGTGCGAAAGTAGATGAGGCATTCCACTACTGTTTGTCCAGCGATACCAAGGTAGAAAATTGTCAAAAGAAACGAGAGCTAAGCATCGGAGAAAGCAAAGGAAGTTTTCACTGACATGGTAGTGTAAAGCGACAAACATTGCAGCCGTTTCCGCAGTTCGCAATATCACATTTTAAACCTAAGAAGCGTTCGAATCAAAGTCTACACGAAGTAACGTTGAACATTGGTGTGATGGAGCACATCGTAAGGAAGAATTTGTGCTGAAGAATTACAAGGAATAGCTGGGCAAACCATATTCTAAGATGACTCTTTATATCAGCCCTGTGATCAATACCAGTGAGGATGAATTCGCATTTGGTGTACAATTCGTTAAAATAGAGGACAAATCACGTTTAACGCAGCAGATGACAATAGACAGAACAGTTTGGAAGATGAAATCGAGAAAAAAATAGTCAGAGTGGAATACATGTCTTCCAGTGATGTATTCATGATCAGCTCATATTTGACATCATATTTTATGTATGTATATAACGCAATACCCATTGGACAACCTTGAGTGCATTTTGAGTGGTGGGAGAGAACAAAAAGAGCAATGTGTTTGAAACCCAGTCACTGCAGGAAGTTTTATTTTTCCGCGGTGTCTGGAAATTATAAAATACTCACTTGTGAATATTTCTCCTTATATATTATATTAATGGTCCCTTTTAGAAGAGAAACTATTTTTTATATACTACTTTTTTTATCTTGGAGCAAAAAACCTAAAAGTTTCAATAAGTTGTATTTATTGTTTTCTGCTTCACAGCCACATTTTATGACCAGAATATGACACTCGTTTATAAATAAAATACCTTTTTCGACGGCTTCTCTTAGTTTTTCAACACGATCATGTTCTATAGCAGATAGCACCTCACGTGCAAATCGCAGATTGTCTTTATTTATCGCTTCTGTTTCTTCAGGTTGGCGTTCTTCTAATAAATGAATAAATAAATTGTAACAGACATATGATGTTTCACTTTACAAATTAGGAATATCAGCATAATGGACCCGTCATTAATTACAGGGAAGGGGGGACTGGTGGGAAAAGAGGGGGGTCATATATTTTAGTGCATGAAAAAAGCGGGGGGAAGCATTTTTGTGCAATATAAATGCCTGCCCCGCATGACCCTGTCGTACCATAAAACCAACAGATAAAAAATAGAGAGCAGTAGAACTGTAGTAAACTCCAACACCACCCTGTTTATTAAACTGATTTCAACATAAAAATGTACAGTTGAACAGCCGTTGACTCAATAAAAGGTTAAGAATATATAAATTACGATGCAAGTATATAGGGCATAGTTGCAAAATCTCACGGATCCACCATGACCATCAAGGACTTTACTGAAACCTCACGGTGAGCTCATAGCTTGTTAATATCTCGCGAATTCTCACGGATTTCGAAAATAACCCAACTGGTTCTTAGATATGTTGGATTTGGTGCACTTTTTAACTACTAAGAGTGACTTCATTTGTGTCCAATTACATAAAACTTTTTTTCTCTCAAAAAAATCATGTCATTAAGCCAAAAATAGATAATCAAAAGATCACTTCATGCAAACTCGTACTCGTGGATATTGAACAATATGGTTTTGTATATCCATAGGCAGCCCAAAACGGCGTCTAGAATCCACCAAATGCTTTCAAATGTCAATTTATATTAAAATCCCCCATTCCCCTGTCATTTGTCGCGCGCCGCAAGCACTCAATGAAAAGCACTGTTCATATATATATAGATTATACCTAAGGTTGGCAACAATATCTGAACTGACGAATATACGACTTCGGCAAAACGAAAAATACTTCGCACACGTAAATAAAACATGATAAAAATTATACCACATTAATTTAAACTCTGTTAATTTTTCTATATACCCGCACATAAATTTTGTTTTCAAGACTGAAAGAAAGCTGAAACATTTGCACATTATGTGATTCAACTGGTTGAAAAAGTAAACAGTTTGTGACGTATTTAT